CATTTGAGCTGTCAATCGCAGCGCATTCGCTCATTTTCATTTTTCATGTGCGATCTTATTATTTTGTGTTTTTTTTTCCTTTTTGTATTTTTCCCTTAATTGGCAGCTCTTCACGTTGTTGCCGGTATGATATTTGATATGCAATTGCCCAAGCTCATCAATTTTCACGCTGCTACAACGTTAGCGGGGCGTGCAGCATATTTTTAATATAAGTACATAAGTGTTTATGTATGTACTTAAGCAAATTTTAAATTATGTTAATGATCAACATTAAATGAAATGTTGAAATACATATATTTCAACGCATTTGCAAGCAGCTGAGTCTGTTGAGCCATTTGCGCTTCAAGCTTAAAAGGAACACTGTTTCATCCAGCCCAATTCCACTGAAATCCTACTTTTTACTAGGTACGTATGTAAGTTATATTTGCTGGCGCTAGAAACCGACTGGACTTTCATTGGCGCCATTGTTTGCTGGTCGCACGTGTGTGTTAAAATGTTTCGCTTTGGGTTAAGCGTTTGGACACAATAACCCAAAGTTATTATACAAATATCCTAGCCGTACCCAACAAGATACCTTTAGCTTTTTCTAATTTCGATACTAAGAACAAAATGTTTGTAAATAAACAAAAAATTAATAACAAAATTTGGAAGATTTTAGATATTGGATACGGTAGCACGAAATGTCATAATCTACTTAATTGCAGATATTGGTTATGTAAGCAGCAGCATTTTTCCCGAAAATGGTCCCGCTAGGTGGCGTCAGCGTCAATATACATATTTGGAAAACCCAATATTAACAAAAAAAAATTTCAATAGAAGTTTTAATAATGTAACGTCATGTAACGTCACGACAGTTCCTTCGGCTGATTAAAAAAAAATGCAGGAATGATTTTAATTAAGAATATTTTAAATTTTACTAAAAAAATACTTTTGTCTTGCCCGAATCGCAGCATTTTGCAATTTTGTAACCCAAGCCAAAATCCGCTACTGTAACGCCACTCCAGCGCTAATGTGTGTGGAGAGAGAGAGAAAGAAGAATTAAAATAAATAATGAAGGATTAAGCGTCGGCAGGCTGTCGCTAGGTAATGTTCGGTTGTTTGCATCCTCTAACGCCATACCGATGAATGCAGTGCCGTGAGTTCATATCAGGCAGTAGCCGATAATAACCCTGTGTATTTGCCGAAGCAGTAATCGATCTAAGTGAAGGAGGAGTAAGCTAGACATCCTCTTATCTATTCTAGGCCAGCTGTGTCGTACTATCCAGAAAGTAGGCTCAGTAGACCATCTTCTATATGAGCTTCGATAGAGTTACTTTTTAGCCAGGATTTACGAGAATATAGTGGAACTGATAGCAGGCAACACGTGTTCTTGCTCGACGATTCATTGCAGTTGTTCGATATATAGTTCTAGTCCGGGAGCCATCTATTTTTTGTACATACATTTTCAAGCTAAGTAATTCTGCTAAGTCGAGAGAGAAGAAATAGCAGTTTAGAGCACGAAATTTGTTACAACCTTCATACCTGACAGTAATTGATTTTTCTCAATTTGTTACCACAAAACTGTGCTAACCAAAGAATATAATTGGAATAATATAAAGGCGCTCACACTTTCGCTAAGGTTTTGGCCGAGCTTTTTCTCCAATTTTTGGTGTGCGTGTTGATGCTGTTACAGAACAGAGTGCCTACAGTTTTACAGAACCTTTTGCCAGGCGGAAATACTCTCAAAGATCTACTATTTTCTGCCGAGAGGCGACTTCTGTTTAGAAAAAAAAACTTTTTCTGTCACTTTTTTGGATGTTGCTTTCACCTGCTTTCACGCGAAATTCGCATGAATTTGCGAAGCTAGGTGTTAACGCTAATTCCATACTGATGACTCCCTACTATTTCCAGTGAAATTTGTATGTTAATAACGATAATCATGATAAGTATATAAGTACCTAGTTGACCGAAGAGCATAAAAATTTTGGTTTTTAAATAAATTAAAGCTATCATACCTGTCGTAATAAGTTTGCTAAATGAGTCGTAAACGAGATTGCTATTACAATCATTAATTTATTATGCATGCGCAACTGTCAAAAAAACTTAAAATATTTTGATTATTATATTACTTTTTTTGCTTATTTTATTCCACGCATTTAATTAATGCTGTAATTATCAATACTAAAACTCATCCACAACGCATTTATTTATACAATTTTGTATTATTATCTATTTGTTAAATACATTTTCCGCTTCAGTTCGATTTTTTTTTGGCGTTTGTTTTCCGCCGCCTTTACTGACTGTTTCATGATGCTATTAATTTTATACCAGGAATTTTACTAACATTTACTAACAATGTGCATAAATTCTAGTTAATAGAATGAAAAACAAATTATGCAGCTGCCAATTACATAAAATGTTGTTAAAAGTTTTTCGCGGAAAATGTTTTGAAAGCTACAAATACACAATAGAAACATTTTATTTACTAACAGGTTTTTTTTGATAAAAAAAATTTAATTTTAAATACATAATGTGCTGGCATTAGAGGATGAAAAGTTACGCAAATTAATTAATTAGTTATTTTTTTATTATAAAATTGGAGTGAATGCATATATATGTATATGTATGAATAGTATAACTGGAAAACTAGCATGCTGTGATTAGTTACGAAATAATTAATTGGTGAACATTTTTTACGAATATGCAAGCGTTGAAAGCAATTGCCAAGTTCGAATGGGCTTTCAATCACGCGAGTGATTGGCAAGTTTGCTTCAATATGCTTTACTGCGAGTCAGTGGCGTAGCCAGAGGGGAGGATTGGGGGGATAGATCCACGC